ATCTATAATTGTGTTGGTTTGGTAATGAGGTGAACATAGAGATTCTTTTTCTACAGTTACTTTTACTTGAAAGGCATATTTTTACGGAGAAGGAGGAACAGAGAGAGGTCTCCCACCCACTATTTCACTCCCCAAATGGCTGCAATGGTCAAAGCAGAGCTGAGCTGAGCTGAGCTGAAGCTGGGAGCCAGGTGCTTCTTTCAACCTCTTAAGTGGGTACAGAGGCCCATCCTCTGTTGCCTTTTCAGGCCATAAGCACAGGGCTGGATTGGAAGTGTAAGCACCTGGGACACAAACTGGCACCCATATGAGATCCTGTCAATCACAGGCAGAGGCTTAATGTATTATATCATCATGCTAACCCTGAACATGAAGATTCTAAACTCCACAGTTGTAATAAGCGTCATTGATATGCTAAAGAAGCTTTATTTTCTGGTTCAAAATGCTGCTTGGCCCTTGTGGATAAAGAGGCAGCAGATCTATGAAGCTGGTTATTTCTAATTATAGTTCTGTCCTGCACTGATTATTTTGAATGTTCCTTTTTATCCCTATCCAGCAAACATCCACACAGTTAGTCCTACATGTGTCTCCATCACAAAGAATTTTTGGTCACCCAAGAATGTAGTGAATCCTAGACCCTATGGAATTGTACCATAAAATTTAAAAAAAATTTTTAAATGTAGTGTACTTTCTTTTTTTTCCATTTTCTTTGTAACATAAAATTCACCTTATTTATTATGTTATGAATATATATAAACAAACATATGTACATATACGTATGTACATTTAAGTTAAAGTCTATGGTCCTTGATATTAGACATTGTAGCTTGTTTATTTGAAAGGCAGCAGGAGCCTGAGTCTCCCTGTGGCTCTCCTAGGTGGGTGTAAGGGATTAAGTACTTCGGCCATCTTCTGCTGCCTTCCCAGGTACATTAGCTGGGAGCTGGATTGGAAGTGATGTGGCCCGAACTTGAACTGACATTCGAACAAAGCTTAACCTGCTGTAATATTGTGGCATATATTTCTTAATAAACACTGTGGTTTACATCAGATAAATAAGTTTAGCTTGCTGAAACCGTAGAGTTCTGTTTGAATTATCCCTCAGCTCTGATTCTGGGTCCCAAGCAAATGGATGGAAGCTCCACGATGACTGTGCTTAAAGGTTGAAGTCTCTTATTTCTCTGTCCACAAGTCCTGCCCCCCAGTTTCTTATTAGGTGATGGGAAATCACATAAATAATAAAAAGGATTAGGAAATTGTAACTGAAAACAAGGATGATGGTACTGGTGCCGTTTTCACTTGTATTTCTGACTGGCACCAGGAATCTGCATGCACCTGGATGTTTTGATTCTGGGTCAGTCTGAGTTTAAACTTGGACTGAAGTGTAGCCACAGTGATCCCCTGAGATGTTAGATAGTCATCTCAAATATAAAAAAACCAACTTCTCTTGCTCTCAAAGCTTGCTTGTTTGATTGCAAAACCCACTTTACAAAGGAAGAAACTTCAAAGAAAATACTCTAGATCAAGCACAGAACTTAATACCTGAGAGAGGCTGGGCCTGCCCTCTGACTATAGTTGTTTCAAGTGGTCTCCAGTCTACTCCCCAAGTTTAGGGAGGGAAAGGCCTCAAATGAACCTGCAGAATTCCTTTGAGGGCCTCTTGTACAGTTCACCTCATTTTAGAAATCAGGAAAAAGCACCTTTTGAGAATTGTTTGGTTCTCATTGGAGTCAGAGTGGTTGTCAAAGCTAAACCCTGTATTATTTCACTCCATTCTTGCTCTATCATATTGGAAACACCAGAACGGCTCAAGATTATAAAATCTGCAGTTACTAGTGTGAAGTTTTTTTTTTCCCCAGAAAGAAGTGAAAAAATGGTGTTAAAGCAGTTTCTGTTTGTAGTTTCAGTTTTCAGAATGGAAATATCTTTATTGTTCTTCTTTTTCCACTATGGACGTAATATATGCTTATTTGTGAAGAGCAGAAAAAATATATAGAAGATTAAAAGAAAGATAACTCAATCATCCAAAGATGACATCCATTAGCATTTTGATGCACAGTCTACAGCTGAAAAACACTTATTCTCCTACAAATGGAATCATGTTAAATATAGCATCTTGTTACCTGCTTTAGCATTTACAAAACATGTCATGAACATATGTGTTAGGGTAGGCTAGGTTGTGCTGGTGTGACAAATAGCCCCAAACCTCAGTTTTTAAAATAGCAAGCTTATATTTCTTGCTTTTACTACTCGTCTGCTTTGGGTTGGCACTGAAACAAATATGCATGTTACAGTCAGTTGTGAATTTGGGCTTATTGGAGCAGCTCCCATTTGAATGTTGTTAATTACTGTGCCAGAGGCAGAAGAGCTGTGAAGCATGCAACATCTGCAATTTAATTCTTGTCTCAGAAGTGATAGATGCCACTTACATTAATCACGTACTCACCAGATATAGTTGTGTGGCCCCCGCCCACCCCCAAAAGGGTAATCCTCCTGGCAGAGAGTTAGAAAAATATCTGGTCGACAGCATTGAAGCCCAGGGAAATGAACATTGCTGATATTGTAAGCACAGATCTGCATCCCCCTTTTCAACAGCTGTGTTGAAAGTAATATATCATGATGTATTTAACCACTTTTTTTTTTAAAAAAAAGGATATTTCAGGCTGTTTCCAATTATAAAAAACTGCTTGAAAAGTTACAAAGAATTTCCTTGTACAAGAAATTTTTTCTACTGATTTCCCCATGTAATTTTTTTTTGTAAACAAAATCCCTAAGTTGAGAAAAATACATACTGGTGAGAATGTAAAATGTGAGTCTATTTGGAAAACAGATTGACAGTTTCTCGAAAAGTTAGTTAGAAATCTCACTTCTAGAAAAAACAAAAACATATTTCCAACACAAAGGATTGACTGTAAGAGCTCATTCAATGTTCATTCACGTTCTATCTTATTCATCATAACTTAAAGGTGGAAGTAACCCAAATGTCCATCAAGTGTGAATGCATGAAATGTAGTACTGTGTATCCAGACAATGGAATATTATTCAGACACAGAAAGGAATGAATCTCCAATGCATGGCTACAGCATGGATGAACCCTGAAATGTTAGGCTAAGTGAAAAAGTACCATTCATAAAAGATCTTATACTGTATGATTCCATTTATATGAAACATACAGAATGGGCAAAACCTCAAGAGAGAGATGATTAGTGGTTGCCTAAAGCTAGGGTTAAGGGAAAATTGGAAGATGGTAGCAAAAGATTGCGGGATTACTTCTTGGGATAATAAACATGTTCTAAATCTATGTGGTCATGATTACACAACTCTGTATATATAGTAAAAACAGTTGCTTATGCATTTTAAATGAATGAATTTCATTGTGTATAAACTATAGCTCATAAAACTGTTTTGAAAATATGCAGGGTCTATTTTTCTGAGTTTTGATCTACATTGTCAGACTGTTTTACATATAATATGAACATTTTACATTTCTGTTATTAAAACAGATTTGTTCAAAGTAATATTTAGTAACCATTGAATATTTATTTTAATCGAAATTCATTCTTGCCTTTTGAAGATTTATACTCATTCAAAAGAGAGAGGAGAGAAGGGAGGAAACAGGAAAGGAAAAAGGCATGGAGGGAGGGAGAGATACCCTTCAGATGCTAGTTTACTTCTCAGACACCTACAGCAACCAGGTCTGTGCCTGTGTCTCTCACATGGTCTTAGAATTTGACTCTAAACTTGAGCCATCGTCATTAGCTGACAGAGTTAAAATTGGCAGGAAGTTGTAATTGTAAGTGGAGCTGGAACTTTAACCCAGGAACTTCAATACGGGACACAGATACCCCAAGAGGCATCTCAGATTTATCTTTTAAAGCAAAGATGACTTTTCACCTTCTTATGTCACTCCTCTGCATGTAGGAAAATGAAATAAACCATCCATCTGGCTGGTACAATGGCTCAACTGGATAATCTGACACTTCTAACCTTGGCATCCTATATCAGTGCCGGTTCATGTCCTGGCTGTTCACTTCCCATTTAACTCCTTGCTTGTGGCCTGAGAAAGCAGTGTAAGATGGGCTAATGCCTTCGGACCCTGCACCCATGTGGGAGACCTGAAAGAGGCTCCCAGCTCTTTGCTTCACATTGGTTCAGCCATGGCTGTTATGGCTAGTTGGGAAGTGAACCAGCAGATGAAAGATCTTTATTTCTGTCTCTCCTCTCTGTAAATCTGCCTTTCTAATAAAAAAATCTTAAAAAAACACAGATTAAAGCACAGTAAGAGGAGCTGATGTGGTGACTCAACAGGCTTAATTCTCCACCTACAAATGCTGGGATCCCATATGGGTGCTGACAATCCACTTCCAATCTAGTTCTCTGGTTATGACTTTGGAGAGGCCCAAGTCCTCGCATCCTTGCATCCATGTGGGAGACTCAGAAAAAGGTCCTGGCATGGATCAGCCTAGCTCTGGCTGTTGTGGCTAATTGGGGAGTGAACCAGTAGATGGAAGATCAGATCTTTCTCTCTTTGTCTCTTCTTCTTTCTGTAAATCTTCCTTTCCAATAAAAATAAATCTTTAAAATAAAACAGTAAAAAAAAAATCAAAATAGATTCAGTTTTACTTGCAGAATTTTTCCTGGAATTTTTGGGTTCAATAGTCAGCACAACAAATTAAGACTGAGTAGCTTTCCTTTTTGCAATAGACACAACAACAAAAGGCTTAATTTCAAGTCAAAAATGAGGAGGGAACAGAATACGCGTATTCTAATAATTTTGTCATTCTTGTCATTTCATCCATTCTCCTCTAACAGATTTGACAATGTGCAGTTGAGTAAGTGGTGTGGTCTCATGGATTAAAGTCAACCAGGTGGAGAGAGATGAATGCCAAGTGAGGCCTGGGAACAAACTTATAGAAGGTCAAAACAGCTTTTCAGGATGGATAGTCCTTTGGGTGGATTATACCTCACAATCACGTTTCATGTCTCTTTTGTTTCTGTAGGCTGGCCTTAGGGTCCCCAGGCAAGTGAGGCTGTTGCAAAGGCTGGTAAGTATCCTCTGGGTGTAAGGCAATTTGGTTTGCTCATCCTTTTGTTTATCTTGAATCTAGTACCAACTTTGTTTATGGTCCTCCAGTGCTTTTCAAGCTGTTTGTGGAAGAATCCTATTGTGAAATAGCATGGCCAATTCTTTCACAAGGTTTTGTTAAGTGTTTTTTCTTGTTTCTGGAAAGAGATTTGATTATTTTAGTAGGACTGTAAGGATAAAACATGAAGTTTAATTTTTTAAGCCTTCTAAACATAACATTTAAAAAATGTTATTCTTATTTAGGAAATGAAGGTTTTGTTGTGAGCTACTAGAAATTAAAGCAACCAGAATTCACATTTATATATTTAAGCTTTATGGTGATGGAAATTGGGCAGATGCTCAATGCATCTTGGAAGCTAGTAGATTGGAAGCTGGGCAAAAATTCCAAGATTCTGAAAGTGTATTTGAAACCATTTTAGCTCTGTTTTATGATAGTGGATGTTGCAAAATAGCAAAACATAGGGTCCTGCCTTCAGGTTCTGGTGAGATATTGACCCAAGACATGCTTACCTCTAGTTGGTGTGTGAGTAAATTCAGGTTTTTCATTAGTACTGATATCATTATTCCCATATTTGTTTATACCGTGACTCTGTTTTATTTTTATTTTATGTTTGACTTCCTTTTCCTTCTTTCTTCCATTTATTTTCCCTTCTGTTAGCCAAGTATTAATTTTTTGTTTTTATACATGTTCACAAAATCATGGGATAGCCATATATGTACATAAACATGTCAACATTTGTGAAGCATAGGAAATTTTACTTTGATTTCCCGCTAACATGATCATATGTTACCCTCTTGTGGATGTTGGCAGAAAATAGAAGACTCCTGGACTGCAGAAAAGGGTGACTTTTACTCACAGTCCTAGGATACTTAGAGCATCAGAAGTCTGAACATGTGTGCCTTTCCCAGTTGACGTTAGAGAGCCACATGACATCCCCTGAAGCTATTGGCTACATTACATGAGAGGAAGTGTCCACCTGATCTTTGTCCCTGCAAGGAGCTATTCCTTTATTATTCTAGATTACTCTCCCTCAGCTCTTGAAGCAGAAATCATTTGGCTTCAAAGGATGCTCATTATACAAACATTCTTGAAAAGATTTTTCAGAATAAAGACAGCAAGTGCCTCTGCTAATATAGTGTGTACGTATGTCTGACTCACGGAGAACAGTTCCCCAAGAATGCATCAAAATCTAGCAATACTTTGTCAATGACTGGTCACATACATGACAGTGGTCAATATAACATTATATTAGCTGGTGAAATGGTAGCCTTCTTAGTCACGTGATGTTCACACAACAACAGAATTGCCAAGAGATTCATTTCTCAGAATGAGATCCCTATAATTCATGATGAAGGGTTGTAAATCTAAGGAAGACTTAAAATTTAATGGAAACATGGAGCTATTGAGAACATAGGTTTTTCATGTGCTTTTCTTACAAATTTATGAATTAGCTTCTTCATTCATTCAATGGTTTTGTTATTTTGGCTGCCTGCTGTCTGTCCAGTCCTGTTTTTGGTGTTGGAGATAAAGCAATAATGAACATTGAGACTGAATTCTGAAAGGTGCAGATAGACGTCAGAGGCCAATTCTTAATTGAGAAGATGACCAATGCCACAGAGAAACAGAAGAGCAGTGAGAGATGGGGATGAGGAATCTGACACATTGGTATATGTAAGGTTTCAGATCATTGCTTTGACATAGTGGGGATGTAAGACAGCCAATGTTTACTGAGTGTATACTACATGGTGGTCATGTACTTTATGTGTCAGAACTCAATTACTCTTAAAATAACATTTAAAATATTTTACAGAAGAGAAAACTAAAGTTCAGAGAGCTTGAGTAATCATTCTTCCAAGATTACAAACTGTCTCTTCTATTCCTTGATACCTTCTTTTTTGGTTAATTTATTTTATGATACTGTTCCATTGGCTCTGTGATTTCCTCTTCCCCCTCAGTCCCTTCTCTCACTGATTTCTCCTGTATTATTACAATAGTCCTTCAAAAGCAGTCATAAGTCCATCATTTTGCTATTTAAGTGTATCTTGACATCGTAGGTATGGACAGTGGCAGAGTCCAGAATCCTATTGTCGAGATATAGTTAACAGTTCCATGGGGAGTCCATCTTTGATTTGGAAGTTACTGCTTTGTATCTTCACATCTCGATATGACAGTTTCTATAATACCGTTACTCTGGATGACTATATATACATGCATGTTTACCTATTGATCTTGTATTTTTTCATGAAGGGTGCCTTATATCAGAGACTTACATAGAAGTCTGCTGGTTTACTCCCCAAATGGCCACTTTGGCCAGGGTGTGGCCAGGCCAAAGCCAGGATCCAGGAGTTTCATCAGGATCTCTCATGTGAGTGGCAAAGGTCTAAAACTCAGGCCACCCGATGCTGCTTTTCTTGGGTCATTCGTAAGGAGCTGGACTGGAAGCAGAGCAGCATTCATATGAAGAGCTGACATCACAGGCACTGTCCACTGCAACACCACATCCCCTTATCCTTATTCTCATCAGCATTACCTTATCTGGGTCTACACATTTACAAAAAGGGTGAATAATGCTTCATGTTGTTATATCCCATTATTGATTAAGCTTTCAATTTGTTTACAGATTTACTCAGCTATAAACAATGCCATAATAAGCTTTTGTTTATTCTACTGTGTGGATGCTTTTATTTCATGGTTTAGTTTTTCAGTAAAAGGGTTATTAATTTAATGTGCATGTGCATTTGAAATTTTGATAAGTATTGTTATTACTTTTTGAATGCTACTAATGTTATCTGTATTAATTCAATTTTTCAGCAATGATGAATATGCAGATTGCTTTGTACTATCAATGTAATTAATCGTTTTGTTTTATCAAGTGATATCTCTTTGTTTAACTTGCATTTCCCTGATTACTTACAGATTTGGACATTTTCAAATATAGTTGTTAGACATGCAGAGTGGTTCTACACACTGTCTTTTTTAGATCCTTTGACTGTCTTTCTGTTGCATTTTTTATCTCCCAGGTTTCAACTTGTCAAAGATTTTTACACAAGATATCCTGTGTCTTCCAAATTATAAGAGCCTTCCTAAAATCTTTGTCTGTTAACTTTATTTGCTACATAAAAGCCTTTTTTCTCTTTCCTTCTTTTCTTTCTCCTTTCTTTCTTTCTTTCTTTCTTTCTTTCTTTCTTTCTTTCTTTCTTTCTTTCTTTCTTTCTTTCTTTCTTTCTTTCTTTCTTTCTTTCTTTCTTCCTTCCTTCCTTCCTTCCTTCCTTCCTTCCTTCCTTCCTTCCTTCCTTCCTTCCTTCCTTCCTTCCTTCCTTCCTTCCTAATTTAAACATAGGAAGTACAAAATACACAGAGTGAGATAGACAAAATCTTCATCTTCCCTCATGAAGTTCCCACAACAGCTGATGCTGGCCCACACTGAAACTAAGAGCCCTAGTCTCAATTTAGATTTGCACATGGGTGGCAGGAATACAAGTGCTTGAGTCATCATATGCTGTCCTCCAGGCTGTATCCTCGTAGGAAAGCAGGATGAAGACCAGGGTCAGGACTCAAACCCATACACTCTAATATGGGATGTGGGTACCCCGAGCAGCTGTTTACTGCATCAAATGCCCACAGCTGTCATATAAAAGCTTTATGTTCTTAAGTAGCATATGTTTATCTTTTCCTTTATGGCCTGTAAACGACCAGATTTAGTTGGATTTTCTTGAACCCTTGGTTTAGAATGACTTTTAATCTTAAAATCTCGCTTTTCATATGTGCTATAGAATTTTAATGCGAACTTTATTGACCAGAGTGAACTTTTGTGCGGTGTTCCTGGCACATATTCTCTAAGATGGTTGTCTTCAGTGGCTCTCTGGTGCATGTAGCATAAACCCAAAGAGCATCTAAGGTCCTGGATAATCATGCTCCTGCATTCTCCGAACCTTGCTCACTCTGTGAGTCTCTTGTTCTGTGCTCTTAACATTTCCCACTACTTGGAGTTCTCTGAATGTTCTGTATTTCAGGAAATGAATAGAAAATGTAAGGAAACAGCTGGTCCTCTGTCACTCTTGCCAGGATCACAGGGCTTTGCTTGAGTTTAATCTGCATTGGTTATCTGCATTTCATGCCTTTCATGAAATTGTCTAGATTGCACACACACAAATTGCATATGGCTTGGAAAGCAGGATGATCTTTGGTCTGAGATTGCATGATGCTTAGCAGATACTGCTGATTTTCCTAATAGGATTCATGATCACTGTTTGGCCTCTCACAGCAGCTTTGTCTTGGCAGCTTCTTCAGAGCAGAAATTCTGATATTTGTATTCCAGATTTGTTGCCATCAGATGTGGGAAGACAGGCACAATGATTGTCATGAAGGAAGGAGTTTATACTCACTGACTCCTAGAAACAGGAATCAAGACATACCATGCAGTGCCACCTGGGGGAAGCAGAAGGCACAAGTAGAAGGTGGCAGGGTGCAGGTGGCAAGTGTGGCTTTGCATGTGGTCACTGTTTATCCCCCTCTCCCCTATGGGCAGGATTGAGTAGACAGTGTATGGAATAAATTAAGGATTAAATAATTTATGCTGCTAGCAAGCAGGCTCTGGGCTATAGTGGTGTCCTTGTTGTCCAGTTTCTGGCTTGACTTGATATAGAGGAGATGACTGTGTGGGACTGTTTGGTTTTCAAACAAAAAGTGTGCTCTCTGGGGATTTGTTTGCTTTCTGCAGGAACAAATGAGCTCAATAGTCTGCTGCGTCAAAGTCCCACATGCCACAGCATCAAGGGCATCTAAAGTCCTGTCAGTAGAGCATGGGCATGGTTACCTGGCAGAGAGCTAGTTGCACTTGTATTGAATTATCCAGACCCAGTTCTAACTGTCCTAGTGTATCCTTTTCTGCAAAAAAGTGATAATTGCATCTTGTATTTCTTCCCTTCTAAATATGAAACATTGCTGAAGAGAAGGTA